GAGTGCCTTTGCACAGCCACCATTATTAGGGGTGATCATTCGATATGAACATATTTGTTATTTATAAATATATATTTTATTTATTTAAGTAAACATTATATTTAAATTGTATATAAAAAAAGATAAATAATAGGTATAAAAATAATATATGCATAAATATTAAATTAAGTAATAAATATAGAAATTTAAAACTATTTAATTGATTTATTTAACCAACTTATTTAATTGATATATTACGTGTTTTTATATAATTAAAATTTTACGTATGCTTATTATATTTAATGTTTATATAATAATAATAATTTTTAAAAATAAAAATAATAAAACACAAAAAATAAAAATAAAAGTTAAGTAAAGTATACAAATCAAACAAATCATACACAAGCAATAACAACTCATATAAATAATAAACTCTAAATTAAACACATAACATACATAATAATATTATTTATTATTAAATCTTTTCTTTTTCTATTCTAGGTATATAGGTATATACTCATAAATTACTCAATATTTATTAAATTAAATATCAAATATAAATATTTAAATATTTAAATAAATATTAAATTTAAAAAATTATATCTTAAAATTTTTATATTAAATATTAGATATAACTCATTCCTAATCTGCATATGAAAATGCTCGGCCTTAACTACTACTCTTTCTGGGAAGAAGAAAGCGTTACTCATCTAAGTGCTGCTGCTAGTACTTTGTCGAATTTGGTCCGGAAAGTAAGAGGCTTTCTGTTAATGCTTGTAGGCAGAAATATCTTCTACCGGCTGGACCACGCTGAATCATAAGTTAAATCATTAGATGAGACAGGTGCGAGAGTGGGGACTATCCCATCGTATAATTTTCAATTTACAATTTAGACTATAAAGTTAAGAAGTTTATTGTAGGTCCAAAATAAAGAATAATTAAAGATTATTGTCACTTCTAATAAATTAAGAAAGAATACTTTAATTTTTTCAATAAAATATTACAAAAATTTTAAAATAATTTTATTTGTAATATTAAAATTTATTATTTTAATATTTTTATAGTAAATTAATTAAATTATATAATTTTAAATTATTTTTAATTCAATCGATAAACACTTTACTCAAATAAAAGAATTATCTATTCACTCAAAAGTTTCAACTTAATCAATAGTTACATTTTATCTTCTTCTCTCTCTCTCTCTTTTTTTTTTTAAATCTTTTTTCCTTTTTGCTGAAATTCCTTTTTCTCTCGTTTGGCTTTGGCACCGCTTTCTCGGTGGTTTTTCTCAAAATCTTGAAATGCTTTCGG